GAATAGTGATATTAAAATATTTCTTCTAATTTCCTTTCAATGTGCTCGAATCTGTGCACCAGGCCACTAGTTATAATATAAAAGTAAATGGATAAGAAAATCCATGGGTAGAAATTAAGTTGTAAGTTTTGGCTTAGACACGATTCAGCTTCAACAACATATAGCAGATAGTTTCATTACAAAATGATGAGACATTGTAGGACCCTAACTCTTGTGTATATCAGCCTATGGTAAAATTGCTTGTCATGCGTCATTTGCTTAAAGTCACAGAACCCATCAACAATGTCAATTGACAATTCACTGTGTAACCCTTGTATCTTACACACCTTCACAGAATTATCCTGTTTTCAGTTGCTATATTGTACCAGAAGAGGCAAAGCTCCAATTGTACGACTATGATATCATGATGTGCTCAGGGTCAACACATCCTTATAGGGGTAAGGGCTCCTTAATGTCTATACTAAGCAGCTCAATCTTTTCATATACTTATTCTGTGTTCACTTTTTTTGAGGTTTCTTTCATGATGTCCAGTCTATTATTTACCATTTCTCACTACTGTTTGCCTAGGACAAAAATAGGAAGAGTCAAATGTTTAATAATCTGGCCTTTGAATGAAGGCTAGTCCTTTTCTACTGAGTCAAGTACATAGATTTACTGAAGGCTAGTATGTAAGCTGGTCAGAACACTTTTGGCTCTGGATCCCAGTTGAGATGAACAGAAACCTAATCTTCAGGCAACTAATACTGCCTTACTGTTGTGGCCATCTAATATGCAATTTGAATAATTACCTGTATTTTGGATCTCTCCATCTGAATCAGAAGAGATCACAAGATTAAAAGCCTTTTTTATGTTTGATAAATGATATCAAAGCAAATAGAGGGGATCAAACCTATTACTCAGTACTAATCTTTACATTTACTTACTACCTTTTGTTCCCTATTTTTTACATAGCATAAAACTACGGTGAAAAAGTTTATATAATTTCTTATTTTAAGTAGTCAGTCAAGGCTGTTACCTTTGGAATCAGAAACGATAACAAGTTTATCATAGAAGAAAGCATAATGTGCCTAAAAGTGCTAAGTTATGAGGCTGGAAAGTCACTGAACTAGGCCAACATTTCTTTTCCTCCCCTGATCCACTTTCATTAAGGTGAAATATTAACTTTTCCATGCAAAACTGTATAATTAATTATACTGCAAAATCATTTCCAGGGAGCCTAAAATACCAAGAGTTACTTAGTAAGATGTGTAAAAAGGCAATAATAACTCAGATTACAACATACATTTGTAGATGTATTCTTATTTTTTTATCCTTGTGAACAATGGTAGACATAATATCCTTTTGCTGTAAGACAAGTATGCCTACACAAAGATCAGATCCATGTCTGGAGATCACCTCCATGTTTCATCAAGGTCTTTAATTCACAGACAATGAACGTGGATGTTTATCTTAATTCTCCTTACACTAATATCTGCAAGGCACATAAAACTCCTGCACTAGCCTGGCCAGTGTGGCTCAGTGGTTGAGCGTTGACTTATGTGAACTAGGAGGTCCCGGTTCAATTCCCAGTCAGGGCAATTTCCAGGTTGTGGGCTCGCCTCTCAGTGTAGGGTGTGCAGGAGGCAGCTGATCAATGATTTTCTGTCATCATTGATATTTCTATCTCTATCTCCCTCTCCCGCTCTGAAATCAACTACAACAAAATATATATATACCTATATATATTTTTTAAAAAAGACTCCTGCAGTAGACCATTTCTCATGAAATATTTAATTTACCTTTTCTTTATCAACTGTTGTTACCAGTGCAAAACTTTTTTTTAAACCTACAATGTACCATTAGGGAATAACCCTTCCCTCCCTTAACAAAAGGGGTAAATTAGTGGATTCAGGAAGCTGTGTCCTGGTTAACTTTATCTGCCTTTATTTTTAATAAACTATAATGCTAAAAAGACAGCAGACTTAATGAAAACCTTCCTAAGACATTAGACCATTATCTCTGCTCTAGGAAATAGAACATATATTTAACAATATACCTCTTTGATGACTCTTAATATCACTTCTGATCACATTGAATACCCTCTTAAAATAGTCTAGACTGGGTTTCAAATGTGCCAAGACATGCCCTAGAATCTGTTTCATCCACCAGCTTAATAAGTCACTTTGACATCTGCTCAAAATGTGGAGGTCCCAGTGCAGCCTCGTTAGTATAAAGTTTTGGATACCTGGTTCAAGTTAATGGAGGTGGCCTGTGCCACAGACATTAAATTATATATGTTATTAAAGTTATATTTTCATATGGAAATTAATTTATAAATTTAAAAGTAGAAATGGGTTTAAATTTGTCAGACCATTCTTGATCAGGAAGGTTGAGTAGGGAGAACATAGAGAAAAAAATATCCCATTTTTACCATTAAAAGATCTGATTGGGAATAAGAAATCACACAAAAGGAGTGAATATATATATAAGGAGTAAATTATCATGGCTTTCTATAGAAGACTGCTCCCCCTCATTACTACACAATAAGTGCAAATATATCAACATGAAAGAAAACATTATGCCTGCTTACAGGTTTCCAGGCCACTGGAAAGATGGCAGGGAAGCAGTCCTTCATAGCTACTAGTATTTTTAGCTTTTTTATTCAGAAGTACCACACAAACTAGGTACCAAATCCACAATGTAGAACATGTAAGAAATGTTACTATATACTCAATAATGAATTAAATGAGGGTAAGCTGTTATATTACATATTTTGCAAACATTTTAAAGTTAATATACTTAAAAACTTAAGGTTAAACATCTGAGTTCCTTTTAAGGAGCCAAACATAAAATTGTCTTCATAATTTTGGTGAATCTTCCAAATCCCAATGAATAGAACTGTGGCAAGTATGATAAATAAATAAATAAATAAATAAATATACCAATGTCTTTGGTGTCCCCTAACAGAAAACAGACACTGTTGGAGGATAATTTCACTGATAATAAACAGAAGATCATTTTCTTGATTAACTATTTCCAATCCTAGAGCTGTAATAGAGCAAAATCTATAATGCAGTGTGTATTATTTAGTAACACCACTATACATAGGTATTATCATAGGTAAAAAAATAATTAGAACCAATATTTTAGAATATCAAGACATTTAACATAAAGTTAAAAATTATATACACTGATTTCTAAGCAAGAAACTCAACTAATATAGTAATATAGACATCTTCATAGAAGTGTGATATTTATGAAAGATTAAATTTTCTTTAAAGAAAAAGTCATTAAAATTATGGCACTGAGGAAGCGAATAAATTTTTGAAACTTTTATTGATTTTAGATTTAAAACAAAATTCAGTTTGAACCACAAGTGGGAATACAATGCCTTCAAGATACTTCTAAGGCTATTATTCTACATAATAATGAAACAATTAACAACATAGCATAATGTGAACTTTTCATTCCAGTGGTTTACATATTTTCTTAGGATGGATTAAACTTGTTTTTTTACTTAACACCATTTAATAGAACTATACAAAAATAGAAAGGTATTTTTAAATGACTCGCCAAATTTATTATGAATGTGTTTAAAAACACAAGTATGTAAATGTCTGGGTAAAGAAGCAAGCAGTCTTCACCTCTATAGTGAGCTTGCAAGACTTTACTTTTGTAAGCCAGAAGAGTTAGGCTGTATTGTTTTTTTGTTGGCTCCTTTTATATTTACTCTCTCTGAAGAACTGGTATATAGAGAATCCACTTACTGTATTTGATGAGATTTTGATCCACCCAATTTTTTGTGTAAAGCTAGTCCCATAATGTACAGAACTTCCCCATTGCTCCTTAATGCTAGTGTCCCTGTCCACTTTTGTCCCTGTAGAAAGGTCTGCTGATCCTTTTCATCAGCCCTACCTCACCTACTGCCAAAGAGAAAAGAAACTGGAAAATTTCTTGCAATCTAACTCACTGTTTCCTTGAAGCAAGAGACAGGACACAGGAAAGAGAGGACTTAGCTGTTAATAGATTTAGCATAAACCTTAGATGTGTGCCCCAGAACACAACATTGCCTCAATTTCCTATCTTTCAGTCAAGTCACTTCTAACACTACAAGTAAAATATAAGGTGTTCTCTAGTCTGGATCATCAAACATAAAGCTTCTCCTATTAGAGTAATTAATCTCTTCTTTCTTTGAATTAAAAAAAAAAGTTTCCCTTAAGGGAAAAACAACACTGATTGCCTAATCTGATTGCTGAATTATAGCTTATGTATTTTAAATGTGATTCAAAGAATCATCTAGAATTCTATGGCAACTACTGTGAGTTTGACTAACAGAAAAGTAACAGAAAGATGATAAATTCTGTAGATAGATGGAAGGATGAATTACTGAAGGTCCAAACACAAATTCTGATTCTAAACACAATAACAAAGACATTTTTCCTTTCAGGACCAAGATGTCTTTAAGAGTCAAAATTATTTTGGAGGTCATCCAGTCCAACTTCCATCTAGGTATTATACCTCTCACATATAGTAGTCTTCTGAATTATAAAAATGTATAAAGTTATTTTTTTAAAAAACCTACATAAATAAAAGTTATCTATATATAGAAATATCTATTCAGCAATTCCATAATTTAAATCAAATTGGGTAGAATTTGCTCCCTTTCACCCCCACAGACCATATTTACACACTAACACATCAAGTTACATTTAAGCAATGAATAGTACCTGACTAAAATGGAGAACACAGTACTCTAACACAGTCCCTAATCTTTTTCATGAACATAAAACTGCAAATCACTTATATGAATTATATCTCAATGAAACTGTAAAAAAAAATTATAAGTAAATTACTAACTTGGACTTTGGTCTCTCATTTTAAGGTTTGGTTCTGGAATGCAAATATGGTCTTTGAAAGTCCAATAAAACCAATCTTTTCTATAGACTGTGTATATATGAATAGTTTACAAGGACTGTTGAATCCCATTGCATCACAAACAGGAGGATTGATGGAAAACCAAATGTGTCCAACATAGAAAATAACTCTTTATTTGGTCAAAAGTATAAAAGGTTTTACCTTATTTGAAATATGAAAAAGCTGAGTACTTGCAAGATATATGAAAATACTCAGCAGAGATACTATGAAAACTTGAATAACAAAGTAACTTTTTTTCTCAAAAAAATTCTTTTAGGCCACAGTATATAACAGAACTTACTGCTATTTGAAATATCATTAAAATATAGGTTCATATATAGAAGAGATTATGTATCAGTAATACTACTTCACTGACAAAAAAAACATGCCCCTTCTAGAAGATATATTCATGAGATCTCATTTCTAAAACTGTATTTTTCTCATTTCTAAAACAACTATATATCTGATCAAACCAATCTTACCAAAATCCCACAAATTATAAATCAATTAAAGTTTTAATTTCATTAATTTTAGCTTGTTTCACTTCACTGGCATTTGTTTTTTTTGTTCCAAAGGCTCCAGCTGCAAGTTCTCTCTTTGTATTTTGTATTTTCAGCATATTTTCTTCAACAGAGTCCTTCACAATAAACTTTAAAGAAAAAGAAAAAGGTAAATTGGTTAAGTATTTGTTAGGTCACAATATTTAAAATCTTTAACATACAGATCTTATAACATAGAAACCCACACCTGAAACCTATATGTTCATGTTGACCAATGTCACCCCAATAAATTTAATTAAAAAAAATGAAAACTTGAGAATATGAAAATGTAGATCTACATTCTTGTAGTATTGTGTAGCTTTCAAAAATGGTCAATAAGCCCTAGATGATTTGGCTCAATGGATAAAGTGTCAGCCTGCGGACCGAAGGGACCCAGGTTCAATTGGGTCAAAGGCACATACCCTGATTGCAGGCTCCTTTCTTCCCAGCCTAGGCCCTGGTCAGGGTGTGCTGGAAGCAACCAATCCATGTGTTTCTCTCACATCAATATTTCTCTCTGTCTTTCTCTCTCTCTTGTCTACTCTCTCTAAAAATCAATGGAAAAATATCCTCAGGTGGGGATTTAAAAAAACAACAGGTCAATAATAACCTATTAGAAACTATTTAGTTCCACCTTTTACCTGAATATACAGTGAGCATATTTAGAACATCTTACCTAATAATAGACAAACATGTAAATTGACCGTCCCTCAGCTATATGCACCAGCCAATCAGGAGAGTATGCAAATTAACCCAACAAAGATGGCGGTTAATTTGCATACATAGGTGCGAAGTGGAGGAGCGAAGACTGAAGGCTCTGGCCAGAGCCATGAAGACTGAAGGCTCCAGCCGGAGCGAAGGCCTGGGTCCCAGGTGCCAGAGGAAAACCAGTGCCGGCAGCCAGGGGAAGGGAAGGCCTATTGCATGAATCTCTTCATGCAACTGGCCTCTAGTAATATAATAACTAGAGATGAGATTGCATTCCCTTATCACTCAATATGGTTTTCTGATACAAAGAATATGGCCATAAAGATATGTTACATCTTAAAACCCCATCATCAAATAAGACAGCACACACAAAAAACAAACTTTAAAGGCAGCTCTGTAAGTGGAATAATAGCAAAAATAAATGTATCATTATATTTTAAAAGCTAAATGATATTTTCTCAGAAATGCAAGAATGAGCCTTTATCTGGTATAATTCATAACATGAAAAAATTAAAGAAAAGTGAATATCTCAACAGATGCTTAAGAAACACTTGATAAAATTCAACATTTATTCCTGATAAAAGAAAATCCACATTTACCTAGAAATAAATGTCCTCAACCACATTAAGGGCATCTACTAGAAACTTCCCCAAAACAACATATTTCATATAAAACAAAAGCATTTCCAACAGAGACAGAAACAAGTGAAAAATTGTTACTATCACTACTGCTGTCCAACACTATTAGATGTTTTGGTTACTGTAATAACTAAAGTTATTATGTATTGAGATACATAAAAAAATTTTAATGATGTGAATGTACTTAGGAGATACCACCTAAGTTCCTGTATAGGAACATTCTTTATTAAAAAGATAGTTATCAAGATATCAAATTAATCATAAATTCAATAAATCCCAAACAAGATTTCTTAAATGAGATTTGGTAACCTAAACCCAAAGTGCAATTTAGGAGTGATAGTAATAACCAATAAAATATTCACAATGAAGGATAATGTGAGCACTTTGCCCCACTATCTGTCAAAATACCTATTTATATAAAGAGTCAGGGTCTGTAACATCCAAAACGACAAAAGGGATGACTGAATGCCAGGCTGTGCATGCAGCAGGCTCGGGTGGGCGCGAACAGGTGAGTGGGCTGAACTGCTGACCTCTTGGAGAGAGAGAGAGGCGGGGCTGATCAGCAGCTGCCGTGGGTGCTGGTGAGGCCCAGAGAGAGAAGCAGGGTCTGATCTGCAGCCTCTGTGGCAGCTGCTGATCAGCCCTTGCCTCTCTCTCCAGGCCTTGCCAGCAGCTACGCCTCTCTCTCGCTCTTCGAGAGGTCAGAAGTTCAGCCAGCTTGCCAGCAGCCTGGGGTGGCTGCTGATCAGCCCCACCTCTCTGATTAGACCTGAGATAGGCCTGGAAACGCTGACTGGCATAGAAACTGACCAATCAGAACCTAATCTGGGTGAACTGCAAAGGCAGAACCTAAGGTGGGGGCTGACGAGGGGTTTTAAGGGCAACAGCTGTTTGGTGTAAGGTGTAAGAAAGCGGTTCAATTTTTTAATAACTGGTTTGGCAGTATAGTGCATATGGCTGGCTATCAGTCCAGATATAGGGGATTATGTGTTTTTGTCTGCCAAGAGCATCTCCTCCTGCTGAAAAAGGCTTTTCCCCCCACTTAAGCAATCCTATCCTATATAATCTATCTATATTAATAAAAGGGTAATATGCTAATTAGACCGGGTCGACTGGTCATCTTCCGGATATCCGACTTCCTTCTGGACAAAGCCATGGTGGTGGGGGCTGAGGCAGAGGTAGTTGGGGGCGAGATCAGGCCAGCAGGGGAGGGCAGTTGGGGGCGAGATCAGGCCGGCAGGGGAGGGCAGTTGGAGGCAACCAGGGGGGCAGAGGCAGTTAGGGGCGATCAGTCAGGCAGGCAGAGGGGTCAGTGGTTCTCAACCTTCCTAATGCCGCAACCCTTTAATACAGTTCTTCATGTTGTGGTGACCCCAACCATAAAATTATTTTTGTTCCTACTTCATAACTGTAATTTTGCTACTGTTATGAATCATAATGTAAATATCTGATATGCTATATGTCTTTTCCGATGGTCGCGACCCACAGGTTGAGAACCGCTGATTAGGGGCAATCAGGCAGGCAGGTAGGTGAGTGGTTAGGAGCCAGTGGTCCCAGATTGCATGAGGGATGTCCGATTGGAGAGGGTGCAGGCTGAGCTGAGGGAACGCCCCCACCCCCCCATGCACAAATATCGTGCACCGGGTCACTAGTTCTATATAAAACCATAGTAATTATACCAGTAATATTGTCCCAGCAATAGGATAAAAAGATCAATGGCCCAAGCTGGTTTGGCTCAGTGGATAGAGCATCAGCCTGCAGACTGAAGGGTCTCGGTTTCAATTCTGGTCAAGGGTACATGCCTGGGTTGCGGGCTCAATCCCCAATAGGGGGGGCGTGCAGGAGGCAGCCAATTGATGATTCTCTCTCATCATTGATATTTCTACCCCTCTCTCCCTCTCCCTTCCTCTCTGAAATCAATGAGAAAAAAAAAGAGAGAGAGAGGGAGATCAATGGAACAGAAGAGAGTCCATAAGAGACCCATGTAGTATGTATGATAAAAGTGAAATTTCAAATCAAAAGAAAAAAAAGCATGGGCTTTTCAAAATAAATGATAATGAAGCAAATGAGTCTTCATTTGAAAAAAGAATAAAATTAGAATCATATCATTAATCATAAATAAAAAACAATATTTCAAACAAATCAGAGGTAAATGTTAAGAGATTCAGTTTTAAAATTTGAAAATAAAGCCTTCTGTTCTAATTAAGACCTTAAAGTCTGGACGATATAAAGAAAGAGGCTGACATGTTTTAATCATAAAAATTTTAAGACTTTCTCATGACAAAAAAAACAACACTTAAAGTTCAAAGATAAGCAAAAGTCTGGGATAAATCATGTTCAATATATATAACAAAACATTTAAAATCAGAATGTATGAAGAAATTTTTTTATAGTATAAAACTGTATTTGTACTTTTTGAAAACTAGGCAAAAGATATAAACAAGCAAGTCACAGAAAAAATATTAACAAACAACAGATATGTGAAATGTCCTCAAGGTCTTAGGTAAATGCAAATTAAAGGGTACTTTTTTGACCATCACATAAGAATAAATTTACATAATTCTCATATATCATAAAGTCTACTTTGAAAACAACATGAAAGTTATCTAATAAAAATAATAATTCCATAATTCTATTTCTTAACGTATCTTGAAGAAATATTTGTATATATGCACAGATGCATATAATATAATGCTCATTATGGCACTGTTTTTATTAGCAAATAAATGGGACTGGTTAAAGAAATTATGATGTATCTATATGTAGGCATTAAAAAGAATGGGTTTGTAGAGTAGTCAAATTCAGAGACAGGAAGTAGAAGGGTGGTTGCCAGGGGGGGAATAGGAAGGAATCATGAGTGAGGTTTAATGGGTATAGAGTCTCAGTGTGAGATGAAAAAGTTCTAAAGATGGATGGTGATTATGACTGCAACAATAATGTGAATGTACTCACTATCACTGAATTGCACACTTAAAAATACTTTTTATTATTTTAAATGCTACATTATGTATATCTTACCACAACAGAAAACAAAAGAATAGGTTTGATCTAAATGTACATATAGGAAAGTCTCTAATATATACTGTTAAGGGGGAAGATAGCATGTTGCAAAATAATAAAGTATGATCCCAGAAAAATTTTTAAATTTATTTTTATTGTTGAGAGTATTACAGATGCCCCCCATTTCCCCACCTTGTGCCCTCCTTCATCCGGCTCCCACCCTAGAGGTATACGTTAAGTATGAATGTATGTAAATATAGAGAAAGGGATTTGTTTATTTATTTTTTTTTTTAAATTTTTTTATTGCTTAAAGTATTACAAAGGGTATTACGTATAATACTGGTTTAGTGGTGATGAAGTCCTTTAGCTTTTCCTTATCTGTGAAGCTCTTTATCGGACCTTCAATTCTGAATGATAGCTTTGCTGGATAAAGTAATCTTGGTTGTAGGTTCTTGGTATTCAGTACTTTGAATATTTCTTGCCATTCCCTTCTGGCCTGCAAAGTTTCTGTTGAGAAATCAGCTGACAGTCGTATGGGTATTCCCTTGTAGGTAATTGAGTATCTTTCTCTTGCTGCTTTTAAGATTCTCTCTTTGTCTTTTGCTCTTGGCATTTTAATTATGATGTGTCTTGGTGTGGTCCTCTTTGGATTCCTTTTGTTTGGGGTTCTCTGCGCTTCTTGGACCTGTAAGTCCATTTCTTTCACCAGGTGGGGGAAGTTTTCTGCCATTATTTCTTCAAATAGGTTTTCAATATCTTGCTGT